GTGCGCTCCTGCAGGAAATTACCCCTGATTGTAACTGATCTCCAAGTGACAAAGATCAGTTCCCCTTGAGAAAATGGCCGCTTAGGAAGGCGGACTCTGTGGCATTATGCCCCGCTAAAGTCCCTCCCCTCCTTTCAGCAGGCTCCACCCCCTAAATCTCCAGATTTCCCCCCACCCACCCCAGAGCTGGCAACCCTAGTTATGGCCTATAGCTTGTGGAACTCCCCGCCACTGGAGAGACTTACTTACTTCCTTTATTTATCTCCCACCTTTCTCCCCAGTGTGGACCCCAAAGCAGCTTACATCGTTCCCCTCTCCTCCATTTTATCCTCACAGCAACCCTGTGAGGTAGGTTATTCTTTGAGTATAATATGGCTAACCAGGGGTCATTTCGTAGAAAAAGAGGTGCAGGAGCTTATTAGCATAACTCATTAGCATAACTTATTTGCATATGCCACACCCCCTGACATCGCCGGAAGTGTGTCAGAAGGCAACACCCACTGGCTCAGGCTCCACTGGACTCTTTTGGATTGCCAGCTATTGGGGGTGGGGGGGAATGCAGATCTGTCCTCGCAGAGGAGGGAGAGCTTGTACCTGAATAAAACTTGGTCTTAAAGGTGTCCCTGGACTGTTTTGGGCCGGGGAGAGCTCTGCAACTTACCTGGCTGCTTCTTGCTCTGACTGAGGGCTGCTGGGAGCAGGGGGCGGGGCTTATTGCATGTGCCTGCCCCTGGGGCTCTTTACTGCCGGAGCTCCGCTCCTGTGTGCTCCTGCAGGAAATGACCCCTGTTAACCCAAAGTCATCCAGCAAGCTTCCCTGGCAGAATGGGGATTCGAGAACCAAAAGGGTAAGAAGAAAGTCTAATGAAGGGCTAATATTAAAAACCTAGTTAGAATATACAAAAATACAAGTATTTATGAGAAAGACAGTTAAAAACATTCATAAGGGCCCAGTGAAAGCCTCGTTAAAAAGTATAGCCTAAACACAAGGGCCAGTGCACATGACCTGACGTGTTTCTGCCCTATAGGGGCCTTCTTCAGAGGTCAAACAATATTGAGGTACACATAACTTAAATACGTATTGTAATAAGATAACCAATAAGTGAACATTGGACCAGGAAGAGGAAGGTTAAGCAGCAAGATCTAGAGACACATGATAAAAATGTTTGTGAGGTCTCAAAAGGTGAAAGTCATGTGTCTGGTGCCAAATGTACAGTTGCTAAATTAGAACATCTTCCAGTTTAGGTCCAAAAAGCACCTGTGTGGCTATCAAAGTCAGAGCTAGAGTGTCCTCAAGCAAATACTTTTTTACGAGGCTTTCATTGGGCCCCCATGTATGTTTTTAACTGTCTTTCTAACAAATACATGTATTTCTATTTTTTGTATATTATAAGTTTAAACTAGGTTTTTAACATTGGCCCTTCATGAGACTTCCTTCTCGCCCTTTTGGTTCTTGATTCCAGTTTTTGGGTCAGGTTTGTTTTCCGCTCCCTGTGTCTTACAGAATGGGGATTCGAACCTGAGTCTCCTAGATACTAGCCCGCGCTCTAACCACTACACCATGTTGGGCAGATCCCGAGATGCGTCTTGTACTGCTGTTCGATTTTGTTTCCTAGGGGGCCCGTTTTTGGCTGCATCTAAGGGAGACCCACTCTGAACTCCTCACAGGAAGGGAAAGAGGCAATCCTTTCCCTCAGGAGCCCAAGACTTGCAAAGGCCTCATTTCCTGGCCCCAGATCATCTCGGTTTGCTGCATTAACTCTCCTTGGCAGGGATTTCAGATCCTTCTCAACATTTCATCTCCTCTTCAGCCCAAGAGGTGCCGGCTGCACGTGTTCTTCGCTTCTCTCCTCCTTTTGGGGTGGGGTGGGGGCTAGTATGGCTTTTCTCCATGGGCGACAAGCTAATTTTAGAACGTGTGATTGATGGATCTCGCTTCCTGCCCGGAAGGAGGCGGCAAAATGGCCCAGTGAAGCACTCCCAAACCGGCCCAGAGGACCCCTGTCTCCGCTTTGCGCTGGCGTCCCAAACACGTCCGTTTTCTGATTCATGCGAGGAACATGTTTGAGAAATCCCCGTCTCGTCTTCTGCTCGCTAAAGCACCCCACCCTTTGGCCACATTCTCATAGCTGAGCTCTGATTGTTCTCAGCCGGGAAAAGGGGGGGAAAAGAGTTTGGGAATTTGTACCACTAGTGGGATCAATCGCCGTCCAGCCAGGCAGAATGGTTGGAATCGGGGACTGTTAAAAAAAGCCTGCACTGCTGGGGGATTGGGAGATTGTTCTGGGGCAGAAGTAAAGCCGAAAGGCAGACGTCTGGGATCGGAGCCAGTTTCCTTTTCAGTCCAAGGAGGAGAAAAGGAATGCGGGATTATCCGGAGCAGGCAAGTGGCGAAGGAAGGAATTTTTGGCGGTCCGGGGTTTTTCATACGAGGGGTTCTTCTGAGTCTACTTTCCTGGAAGTGTCACGCGTCTACATTTTTCTCCCTAAATCACCGGCGGTTGTGATTCCTCTGCCCGGAGGGAAGGGCAGTCAACACATGCTCAGAGGCATTCCAATTCTTAGAGGAGGACAGCTGGAAGGGGCTGGCACTGGTCAGGGACACAGGTGCCAAGTTCGAATGAGTCTTTTGGGATTAAACAGCTGTTCAGGGCAGCTGCTGGAGGTTGGGGGGGGGGCCTAACAGCTGCAGGAAGTGCATGGAGCCGCGTACTAGGAGGACTGTGGGGTGGGGGGACAAGACTCCCTCTAAGCTGTGGAGTCTCTTGAGCAAAAATTCTACTTTGGGAGCTACCGGCATGAAAGCTGTGAGCGAGCGATTTGGCCACTGCATAAATGAGTTTGCTCTGGAGCCATCCCTCCTGAGCGGAGACAAAAATCTGTGAGCTAGCTCAGACTAACTCATCTTAGAGGGAACACTGGTGGGGGGTATGAGGGCTGGGGGCTGGGGTTGTCTGCCGTGATTCCATGCAACTACGGAGCAGGGGAGATGGGCTGAGAATTTGGGTTCCTGTTGATCTAAGCTGTTGCTTTAAACACCAAAGCGACACGGTCCTAGTCCATATAGTGGGACTAAGGGAACAGTCAGTCAAGCTGTTGGCAAGCAGTATTCAGGGATGCCTCTCAACCTCTCTCTACTTCTGAATATCAGTCGTTGGGCTGGGACGGTAGAAGACAGCTGTTGCTTTCCTACCCGGCAGGTCTGGTGTAGCGGTTAAGAGCAGCAGTCTGCTCTGGGAGAACCGGTGTTTGTTTCCCCACTTCTCCACATGGAGCCAGCTGGGTGACCTTGGGTCAGTCACAAGCTCTCTCAGAGCTGTCCTCACAAGAGCAGTCCTCGAAAGAGCTCTCTCAGCCCCACCTACCTCCCGGGGTGTCTGTTGTGGGGAGAGGAAGGGAAGGAGGTTGTAAGCCGCTCTGAGACTCTGAATGAAGGACGGGGTATAAATCCAACTCTTCCTCTCCTCCCCCTCCTCTTCCCCTCGGGGTCCTCTGTCTGTCCTCTGCTGGAAACGGAACGCTGGGCACCCCGGGCCCTCCTTTGCTTTGACCCAGCAGGGCTGTTCTGTCGTTGCTAAATGTTGTGGGTGCCGAAAGCAGCCACCAGAAACGGTCTTAAAATGTCCCTTTCCCCCCCGTTTGGTTTGGGATACATCCGAGAGGATGGCCTTCTCAGTCTAGACTTACCCCCTTGAGATTATCTTCCCTCTCCCAGCCTTCAAAATGCAAACAGCATCCATGTGACTAGTCGGTTCTTTTGGGATGGGGAAACAAACCTTGCAAGATGGCATGGTGAATCCTCAATGGGAATCCCTGTTCAGCGGCCAGGATTCTTGGATGGCTGCCCCACGGTTGCTATCTCTCTCTGCCTAACTCGCCTTGCAAGGTTGTTGTGAGCAGGGCCGGCCCCAGCTTATTTTGCACCCTAGGCGAGGATCCCTTCTGGTGCCCCCCCCCCGTGCACCCAGCATGGCTTGGACCCGTTAATTGGATATGTACCCCGGATGTACCCCGGACCTCCCATTCCCCTGGCACCCATGCTCTTAACACTCACTTTTGCTTTTGTAACTTTGCCTGCTTTGCACATCTGGCTTCCACCAAGGAAGACTCTGCAAAGAAAGGCACTCGCAGTCACAAACAACCTCTGCTTCTCACTTGCCTTGACAGTTCCTTGCTGGGGTTGCCATAAGTCAGTTGCAACTTGAGTGTCCTTATGTAATAGCCCCCCTACTTAGAGTCTTCTTTGACTCAGCTGAGTGACCCTTCTGTGCCCAGAGGGCTAAGTTATTTGGTGGGATTGGTGTTTGTATCATCAGAAAGATCATAACATGTTTAAAACTCAGTAGTGTTTGCAGCTGAACCAGGACAGCGGGGGGGTGTGTGTGTGTGTGCCAGTTTGGTGCCCCTAAGGGCCAGCGCGCTCTAGGCGAGTGCCTACTTCGCCTAGTGAGTGAGCCGGCCCTGGTTGTGAGGGTCATGAGCAATGCTCCCTCTAAGCTGTGGAGTCTTGGGAACAAAAATTCTACCTTGTGAGCTACTGGCATTAAAGTAGCCTCTCAACACCAATTCGTTTGCTCTGGAGCCATCCTTCCTGAGCTAAGACAAAAAGGTGTGAGCCGGAGGCTAAAAAACTGTGAGCTAGCCCACACTAACTCAGCTTAGAGGGAACACTGGTCATGAGTGTAGGGGGAAGGATGTTTGCCACCTTGTTGTGCTCCCTGGAGGAAAGGTAACGCAAAATGAGATACAGCCAGCGGCGGTATTAGCAAACTTAAACAAAGGACCTCAATGTATAGAATAAGCAGTGGGGGTTGGCCAGTCTCCATTCCGTCATCACTCGACTCCTCTAGCCGTAGCCTCCCTTTCAAGCTGTGGCGGTGGGACGTCTAAGCATGGCCAGGCTGCCCGTTTTGCAGCCCTGAATAACCCCCGCAACCAATTCTGTGCTCCACATTTGGAGTTTCTCCTCTTTTGAGTGTTTGGTTTGGTTTCTCTTCCAGATATATGCTGTCTTTGTCGGTGGCTTAGGGACATCCTAGCGAAAGAAAATGGCCCAGCCCACGCATCTAAACCGGAATCTCCCAGGTGATGAGAAATTCGCAGGTGACCTCTTGCGGGATCCATCTTTGAATATAAAAGCCTGGGGAGGCATTGGAGACTTAGGGTGGGCGGGAAGATGGTGACTGCCATTTTGCAGCCTCAGAACATGTTCCGAATACTAATGCTCGTATTCCATTACCTGTTCCTCTTTCATGTGCTTTTTTTTTGTCTGTGTATGTGTGGCTTGGATTCCAGATTTGGGTGGTCCGTTCCTGTACCGCAGCCAGGACCAGGATGGAGAGAAGGCCTCCTACTCCTTGGAGACCCCCTATGGCTTCCTGTTGGATCTAGATTTCCTGAAGTACATAGACGATATCGAGAGCGGCCAAACCTTCCGGAAGATTCCGCTGAACCGGAAGGCCAAGGGGCCTAAGCTGGCCCCGGGTTCTTCTCGTGGCCAGACTGGTGGCTGGACGTCCACTGAGTCCCTCTCCTCCACAACCAGCGAAGATAGCAAACCTGTGTTCTCCCCAAGGCCCAGAATATGGGCCAGTTCTTCAGAGCCCCCAAGCAAACAGGCCTCTCTTCCCATGTCCCCACCACCAGTCATCCATCTTCTCCCACCTCCATCTCCCAAATCCCTTATGAGAAACACACGGGTGGAGAAAACCTTGTTGGAGACCAGCAAGCGCTTGGAACAAGAGCACCTTGGTTTGCTCAGCGAGGGAACTGCCGTGACCACCACCAAGGCTCCCGAGAGCCCATCTAAAGTCGCTTCGCCCCCCTTGTTTTCACAAAACTTCTCTCTTTTCTCCGTCCCACTGACAGGGGAAAGCCAAGTTGACTTCAGCCTGCCTCTCGCAGGTCCTGTAAAAATGAGCCCCTCCAATTCAGGAAGGAGTACGCCAGCCACGGCAGTCACCCCCGCGCACCTCTACCATGTCCGTGAGCAGATGGCGGCTGCCCTGAGGCAACTGAAGGAGCTGGAAGAGCAAGTGAAGACTATCCCCGTCCTGAAAATGAAGATCTGCCGGTTGAAGAAGGAGAAGGAGCAGCTGGTGGCTGGCTTGTGGGAGAAATCTCAGGTGGGCGAGGCCTTCACCTTCGATTTCCCTCCCAAATCTCCCGGCGTGGAGGACGCCGCCACCGCGAGCCCGGAAGACAGCCGTGGGGCCGCGGACAGCGAGCCTCTGAAAGGGAGGCCGAGTAAAATCGCCGAGCTAAAGAAGCTGACGGAGAAGCTGTCAGCTTCGGAGAAGGCCGTGAAGGCGAACAAGGCAGCGGCGCCTCTTCCGAGAGCCGAGGAGCCCGCCCACAGATCGGTCGGGGTCGGGGAGGAGATCGACATGGGCGAGGCGGTGTTTTACTACCGCTGCCAGAGGCCGTGCCGCGAGGTGGCCGTCGGGTGGGAGACAGAGACCAAAGATGTCGAGGTGTGGGTCATGGAGTCCTTGCTTGGGGTGTCGGCCGAGACCGAGCAGGAAATGGAGCTCCTTCAGCAGACAGTTCAGCATCAGCGGGAGGTCATCTCTATGCTGGAGGGACACCTGAAAGAGGCCACGGAGGAACTGGAGGAGTTGAGAGTCGCCGTTTGCACAAGGATGCCGAAGAGCCTGATCAGCAAAGAAACCATGGCCCGGCCTGAGACCGTGGAGGCATCCACGGAGGCCGCTCCCGCCACCCAATGCCAGGCCGTGGGGGGCCACGTAGAAACGGCGGAGAAGGGCGTCCTCTTCTCCCCTCAGGTGGCTTGTGTCGGAGTCGGCTGCCATTTGCCCCAAGGAGACCTCGTGCCCGTCGGAAACAGAAGCAAAGCCACGCAGGTGGATCTGGAGGGAAACGGCAATGGGCCGGAACAGAAGGAAGTCTCCATCGTGGTAGGACCAGACGGAAAGGAAGATGTGCCTAGGCCGGAAGAGGCAAAAGTTGGCAATTGGGCGGCCACTGAGGAGCGTGAAGGGCCTCCCCCAGAGATGGAGATTCGGGGAATGGATCCGGAATCGCACTGGCAGCTCGTCGCAGTGGAAGAGGGGACAGCACAAAGGTTGTCTGACGAGAGTTCCTTAGGAAGAGCCGAAACTGGTGAGCTACGTTTCCTGCAACTCAAACTCAACTCAGATGTCGCGACCATCCAAAATAGGGTTGCCAGCAAGGCTCCCTCTAAGCTGTGGAGCCCTGTGAGCAAAAATTCTACTTTGTGAGCTGCTGGCATTAAAGATGCGAGCAAGCCATTTGGCTACTGCGTAAATTAGTTTGCTCTGGAGCCCTCCTTCCCGAGGCAAGACAAAAATGTGTGAGCCAGAGGCTTAAAAACTGTGAGCTAGCTCACACGAACTCAGCTTAGTGGGAACATTGGTTGCCAGATCTTGCCCGTCTGCCGGTGGGGGGCTCCTGGCTTTGTCCTGGGGTCTTCTGACTTGCAGGCCATGATGACGTCACCCAGAAGTGACGTCATCGCAATGAGCACACTGTACAGGGGGCACTCTAGCATTTGGCTAAAAACTCTGTGCTCACCATAGAGTTTTTAACCAAATGCCAGAGTGTGCCCAGTGCAATGATGTCACCTCCGGGTGACGTCATCGTGCCAGGCATGTTGGGCACAGTGGGGCTCTTTGGGGGTGGTTCTCGCCCCGCCAGGCAGCTGGCCAATGGCAGATTGGAGGTCCCAAAATCGGGGAAACCCTCGCCCCCATCGGGGGGGGGGGTAGCGACCCTGAGCCAAAATCAGGGTGATCCCATTTCTGGTTCTTTACATTATGTAATTTGAGTGAAGGCTTTCCAGGGTTTATTTCCATTTTCTCTGAACAACCAGCACAGATCTGGGAATTAGGGGGGGAAAGCTCCAAGAGTGTTCAGTGTGGATTGGAGACAGCCTGGTCAGTACCCTATAATGTGTAGGATCTCCCATCCACACTTTTTCTCCTGTTTTTAGGCGCTCCCTAACACTTGCATTCATTTTAACCAATGCGCCTGTCTGGAAACAACTCATCTAACAGCCAACAGTTGAAAACAAGCCCTGCACTTCAATACACCCCAGCGCTGTTCAGCTAACTCTAATGCATTCTGAACAGTGCCCTGGAGCTTGTCTGCTAAATTAGCTCTGGAGGAGAGGGTGTGTGTGTGTGACTGTCGAGGAAACTTTGTGAGACATAAAACCCCTGCAGTGTTCAGAACAAATCTTGTCCTAGAGTTGATCATAAATACTTAACATAGGCCTGCTCAGAGCAAAAGAACCCAGCAGCCATTTTCTTATATGTTGTGTCTTTTCGGTAGTATTAGAATATTAGAGACTCGATGGACCAGACCGAGGAGGGTCTGTTTAGCCTAGCGTCCTGTTTCACATAGCGGCCAAACACATGCTTCCGTAGGGTTGCCAGATCCCTCCTGGTAATGGGCAGGGGACAGGGGGGGGACTTACCTGGAGAAAGAGAAAGGCCTAGAAAGTGATGTCATCATACTCTCAATCAGGGGTTGTTCCGTAGAAAAAGAGCTAGGGGAACTCATTAGCATAACTCATTAGCATATGCCACACCCCCTGACATCACCGGAAGTGTGTCATAAGGCCACACCCCCTGACATCACGGGGAGGGAGCAACTTACCCTCCCTCTTCTCCTGCCTCCTCCTGGCTGAATGAGGGCCGGAAGCGGGGCGGCCGGAAGCAGGGGGCGGGGCTTCGTCATGTGCCCCGCCCTCCGTACCTCACCCGGGGGAACTGCGATCCCCCCCGAAATGACCTCTGCTCTCAATGTCCAGGCGACACTCTGGTATCTGGGCAAAAACCTCTATGGTGAAACTGCCTTTTACCATAGAGTTTTTGCCCAAATTCTGGAGTGTCACCTGGATGTTGCTGGTGTGATGCAATGAGGCCTGAGCCTTTCTCTTTCTTCAGATAAGTCCACCCGCCAGCCATCTGATCGGTGGTTGGGGGGGGCAAGGCCTGGTGGCAGGGTACCCCGGCTTCTACCAGGGGGGGTCTGGCAACCCTCTTCTTCTAGGAAACCCACAAGCAGGGTCACAACAGCTCCCCCTTCTGTTGTCACCCTGCACCTGGGTTTAAAGGTATACTGCCTCTGAACATGGAGGTTCCGCTTAGTCATAGCCATTGATAGACTATCCTCCATACAAAGAGCCCTGCTGGACCAGACTGAAAGTCTGCCTAGTCCAGCATCCCGTTTCCATCAGAGGCCTGCAGAAGTTCTGGAAAACCCACAAGCAAGTCATGTAGGGTTGCCAGCTCTGGGTTGGGAAATACCTGGAGATTTGAGAGGGGGGCGGAGCCTGGAGAGGGTGGGGTTTGGGGAGAAGAGGGACCTCGGTGGGGTACACTGTCATACGGAGCCCACCAATGTTCCCTCTAAGCCGTGGAGTCTTGTGAGCAAACATTCTACTTCGTGAGCTCCCGGCACGAAAGTTGTGAGCGAACGATTTGGCTCCTGCATCAGTTAGTTTGCTCTGGAGCCCTCCTTTCCTGAGCTGAGACAAAAAAGTGTGAGCCGGAGGCTAAAAAAACTGTGAGCTGGCTCACACTCACTCCGCTTAGAGGGAACACTGGAGCCCACCCTCTAAAGCAGCCATTTTCTCCAGGGGAACCGATCTGGGTTGTCCGGAGATCAGTTGTAACAGCAGGAGATCTCGAGGTGCCACCTGGAGACTGGAGACTCTAAGGACATGGCGGCTATGTCTTTTCCTTTCTGTTTGCCTCTCAGCAGCTGCTGTTCACAGGCAGACAGAGGGTCTCCATGTCACCACTCCGGAAACAGGCATTTATTAGGATCTGAGAACCAGTCTTTGTTTTGTATTCCTTCCAGGAGCCCTCAAATCGATCATGAAGAAGCGAGATGGCATCGGCAAGGCCGAGGCAGGAATTGGCAGGAAGAGTCTCCAGTTTGTGGGGGTACTGAATGGCGAGTACGAATCTTTCCACTTCCTTTCTTGGGGTGGGGGGGTCGCAGTGCTTCCTCTAAGCTGTGGAGTCTTGTGAGCAAAAATTCTACTTTGTGAGCGACGGGCATTAAAGCTGTGAGCCAGCAATTTGGCCGCTGCATCAGTTAGTTTGCTCTGGAGCCGTCCTTCCTGAGCGAAGACAAAAATGTGTGGTCCGGAGGCTAAAAACCTGTGAGCTAGCTCACCCTAACGCAGCTTAGAGGGAACACTAGGTGGGGTGTCAGTGTCTGTGCAGGGGGTGTTCATTTGCCAGCTGGAACTTCATTGTCCCATAACTGTCTTTATTTATTTATTTCATTTCATTCAGCTTATATACCGCTCCTTCCCGAAGGCTCGGAGCGGTTTACAGAGAAGTAATTTACCATTTTCTAACTAGGGCCACACAGTACAGGGGAGAAATGAATGCCTGCCAGGCACCAGAGCAGGGTGTGTTCATGGTGGGTTCTTCCTCAAGTCGATGGTGTCTCGGCAGGATCTTCCGGTAGCGACTCCTTCAGGGCGGACCTTCGTGGTGCACGGGTCTGCAACGGTTGCAGCACTGGCCTCTGGCCTCATTGGCTCCGACCGTGCTGCGTTGCTGCGTCGTCACACTTTCTCTGCGCCTGGGTCATTCGTTCGTCGTCCGACTTTGCCGTATCTTTAGAGAGTCTTGGGTTGGGGGGTATTAGTGTTTTCGCCAGCTTATTTGAATTACGCGGCTCCAGCACCTGCTCTGTGCTGTGGACGACGCTTGGCTAGAAGGACAGAATGTAGTAACTGATTGTATATGATTCATGCCCTGATCTGGACAGCTCGGGCTAGCCCGATCTCAGAAGCTAAGCCGGGTCTGCCCTGGTTAGTACTCAGATGGGAGACCTCCCAGGAATACCAGGGCCGTGACACGGAGGCAGGCAATAGCAAACTACCGCTAAACGCCTCTTGCCTTGAAAACCCCTATGGAGTCGCCATAAGTCGGCTGTGACTTGATGAACATCACATAAGATTTATGTCTCACCCTTCTCCTTTAAAAGCAGCCACAACGGCTTACAAAAGGGCTTCTTGCACTCTGGTGAAGGCTCCCCATGTGAAAAGGAAGGGCCACCAGCAGTGGGATGGATACATGTAGTCCAACCCAAATGAATAAACAGTCTGCCAGATACGGCAATACAGTCATAAATCTGCAATTCATTTTTGGCCATCCAAGAGCCGGCTCAAATAAGAAATGGGGCGATGCTTCAGGATCGATGCTCCAGCTAGACTTTTAGCTAGACTTTAGGGTCCACTTATCAGCACTTGACCTGGTTCCCCCTTGCCTCGGTATCTCTGTTTTCATTGCATTGCCTCGGATCATTGGTAACTCACAACAATTTAAGGAAATTGATGAATTATGTTCGAAACCCACCGCGGCCAGAGTGAGCACCTGGCCCTTGTCCCAGCTCCCGCTAACCCAGCGGTTCGAAAGCGCCAATTAACATCAGAATGCGCAAGTAGATAAATGGGTACCTACCTTAGAGGGTAGGGGGCACCCTCCCCCGCCGAGGGGGCTGTTGGAGCATCGGAGACCGGTGAATGGCGAGCAGCAAGCGGCGAAAGATGGCGTCCAGGCACAACATCGGAGGTGGAACAGACATTGGCGGAAAGGCAGAGCCAGGAAGACGCAGGGAGCGTGAACGGCGCAGGCGCGGTGGAGCCTGGAGGACTGAGCCGAAGCCATGACGGAGCGTGCTGCGCAACGGAAGGGCCCTGCTGACCCGCCATGGAAAGACCACCGGAAGGGAAGGAGCCAGGAGCCGAGCCGCCGAGCCGAAGAAGCCGACCCGGGAAGAAAAGATTGACCAGTCCCTCCACTGCGTGCCGGTAGGGATTGTCCCCACCCCCTAGTATCTGTGGCCATAGGTTAGGGATAACTGATTAACTGTAGCCGCTCCGAGACCCCTTGGGGGGTTCGAGCGGGGTAGTAAGTTGAAATAAATAAATAAATAAGATACGGGGCAATGCTGTACTGACTGCAACGTCACCCCTGAATGGCCATAAATCTATGCAGAAGGTACCATAAAGAAGAAGAAGAAAGAAAGTGAAAGCGGCATGCAGTGTAGAGGGAGATTAACTTCCTGAAGTGGCTGTGGGGAAACTGCGAGGAAACAGATGGGTGCAGAATCAGCCTAGAAGACAGAGTTCCCGCAACTCACCCCCAAAGTATTCTTCCCAACATGCCATTTTTTTTTTTTTTGACGTTTGGTGTATAGATGGGATGCTATCAGAAGTATTTGCCGCAGATTGAATCAATACATATGGGGTCCTAAAAGAAGAGGGGGGTCAGTGTTTTAAAGAAGGGTTGGCAGCTGGGGGCTTCCAAGCTCAATCCAGCCCCCCTCCCAGGCACACTGTTATCAGTCCACTTCCTGTTATGGAACAGTAATCTGTGTGAAAAAGATGCTAACACTAGTTCAATAATACCCAAAGTGTTGATACAAATACAACCATTTAAGCACAATCGAGTCCAATCTGAAAGTAGAAAAGTTTCCTCTTGAGGTGAAGATGTATGAAGAGTAATATACGAAGAATCTGGATATTAAGAGCTCCATTTCGAAGAACTTCCTCAGTAACTAAACATGACAGAGATTACATAATGGGAATAATGACACATACAGTATAAGGTAACATGGTTACAGCAGTAACAAAATATGTGTAAATACCTGAAACAATATATCTTCAGATAGGCTATATGCACTCTTGTGAGTTACAGCAGACACATCTCCTGTGTTAAAACCAGGGGTCATTTCCTGCGGGAGTGCACAGGAGCGGAGGTCCGGCAGTAAGGAGCCCAGGGGGCGGGCACATGCAACAAGTCCCACCCCCTGCTCCCAGCAGCCCTCAGTTGGGCCACAAGGAGCAAGAAGCAGCCAGGTAAGTTGCAGAGGCCCCCCTCCGGCCCGCCTTCAGGTACAAGCTCTCCCTCCTCTGTGAGGGCAGATCTGAGCGTTCCCCCCGCCCCACAGCTAGCAATCCAAAACAGTCCAGCGGAGCCTGAGCAGTGGGTGTTGCCTTCTGACACACTTCTAGTGATGTCAGGGGGTGCGGCATATGCAAATATGCTAATGAAGTATGCTAATGAGCTCCTACACCTCTTTTCTACGAAATGACCCCTGGTTAAAACATGCAAGTCAAGTACCATAAGTATAAACATGATATAAACTGAAGTATAAAAGAATAATGATGACAAGTAGCCGCATGAAACTTACATAAATGGGCATTTATTAACAACACCTTACACTGTATGTGTCATTACTGTCATTATTTAATCTCTTTCATTTTTAGTTACTGAGGAACTTCTTTGAAACGGAGCTCTTAATATCCGGATTCTTTGTATATTACTCTTCATACATCTTCACCTCAAGAGGAAACTTTTCTACTTTAAGACTGGACTTGATTGTGCTTATATGGTTGTATTGAACTAGTGTTAGCGTCTTTTTCACACCGATGACTATTCCCTTGTACATCTACACTGTGGTTGCTCTTACCACTTCCTATTATGGGGCAGAGAGAAACTTTACAAAAAAGAAAATTTCTCTGTCTTGTTGCTGTCTTGTCTTGTAGAATTATTTCTGGCTGGGAAAGGTAATTGGGGTTGGGTATCCAGAGCTGCGGTGGCTCAAGTGGTGAAGACGCTGAACTGCGGGCTGTGGAAGGTCGGTAGTTCAGCAGTTCGAGACCCGAGTTGCCGCATGACGGAGTGAGTTCCCGTCTCTAGTTCCAGCTCCTGCCAACCTAGCAGTTCGAAAGCAAGAAATTGCAAGTAGATAAATAGGTACCACTTCGGTGGGAAGGGAACAGCATTCCGTGTGCCTTGGTGTTCAGTCACGCCGGCCACATGACCACGGAAACGTCTTCGGACAGCGCTGGCTCTTTGGCTTGGTAATGGAGATGAGCACCACAACCCTAGAGTCGGATTCGACTGGCTTTCGAGCAAGGGAACCTTTACCTATCCAGGGCTAATATATTTTTCACAGCTGTATTTGCGGGCAAAAGTGGAGGGAGTAGGAGAAAACGTCGTTTGGGCTTGCTGGCCATTTGGGGAATAGTTTGGTCGTCTTTCTCTTGCCCAGAGCAGTCCAAAATGCAAGCTTCGTTTCACGACCATGGATCTAGTAAGGGGCAGTTGTGCCAAAATCATCATAGCCTTAAGAGAATGGCGGTTTCTCTTTATGGCATAAGATTTGTTGGGGCCTGCCTGTCAGCTACCAGTTGGATCCTTAAAAGGAGTTGGACAAATTCATGGAGAGAGACAAGAGAGAGCGAATTCTATGGGTAGCTGAGCTAGTCTGCTGCAGTGAAAATAAACAGGAGCCTCCTGGCATGTTACAGACTTAACAGGATCTCATTCCAGCTTAAACTTTAGTGGGTGTAGGGCTGCTAGGCCCCCCGGTAGCCATTGGCAGGAGATGAGGGCGTAGGGTTGCCAGCTCCAGGTTGGGAAACTCCTGGAGATTTGGGGATGGAGCCTGGGGAGGACAGGGACCTCAGTGGGGTACAAGGCCATAGAATCCATCCTCCAAAGCATCCATTTTCTCCAGGGGAACTGATCTCTGCTGTCTGGAGAGCAATGCTCCCTCTAAGCCGTGGAGTCTTGTGAGCCAAAATTCTACTTTGTGAGCTGCTGGCATTAAAGTTGTGAGCGAGCAATTTGGCTACTGCATCAATTAAGTTGCTCTGGAGCCCTCCTTTCTGAGCTAAGACAACAGTGTGTGAACCAGAGGCTAAAAAACTGTGAGCTGGCTCACACTAATTCAGCTTAGAGGGAACACTGGTCTGGTGATGTGTCATTCCAGTCTTGACTCTAAGCAGCTCTTCCTGGCAACTAACCCCCCCCCCCCTGCATGTAATATTTTAGGAAATCTGTTTCAATGTACGTGAAGAAGTGTGCACACGCTGAGTCTCTGTTCTCCCAGGTACACAGGGTTGAGCTTGGTTTGTCTTCGGGGTACTGCTGGATTCCAGCTTCATTCTCACATCT